CTTTTAACTCTGCTACAGCTTCCTTCCTACACCCCCACCCCCCACCACCCCATGCCCCCCACTCCGCTGGACGTTTTAAGGATGAGGATGTGCAAAGAGATAAACTGTATCCTAAAAGGCTGATATTCTGCAAAGACCTCAAAAGAAAAAAAAAAGAAGAAAAAAGAAGAAATAAAATCCCCCAAAAGCATTACAAAATATGGTCTGCAGGAAAAGAGAAAAGGCAAAACACGTGATCCTACAATACTTTGATCAGGAATGTCCTGATTTCAGTGCTATTTTGCCTGTGATAGCATCCCCTTTGGGGAGACAGTAATGCAAGCTTTCAAGACGTGAAACATTTTATAGCTCCATTACTGCAAAGGGAGTGTATGGGCTCTAAAATGGGCTCTAAATAAGCCCTCATGCCAGTAGCTGAGCCTGCTTTTTAGCCAAATGTTGATATATTGGAACTGTAGTTCCATTAGGGATTTCTGACAGCCGTATTTCCTATTTAAGTACTGATCTGGAGTAAACGAATGCTTGCCACTCTTTATTTCACATGAATGGTTTGTTCAATATGTACTGTGCGATGATTCACTGTACTTCTGAATAAAGTTATTTTGATAGCAGCAGAAAAAAATTCATCCCCTTGGGATTTCTTTTATTTTCGTATTACCTTTTTCATGTTCAGAAACTTGTTTGGTGACAGCTACCCTTTTTTTTTTTTTTTTTTTTTTTTTTTTTTAACGCAGGAAGGAGACCTGGGAATGCAGAAGTTCCCAATAGCAACAGGAGGTGTCACTTTAGAGGTAAAACAAGCAAGTTACACTAAAAAAGGAGGAATTCCACAAGAGCTGGCTTCTTTGCATATTTTACTGCTGAAGTGAAGCAAAGAAACCCTGGAGAGTTTTACTGTCTCACCTCGTTTGTTTCCTCATCACAGACTGAAACAATTGTATATAAAAGCAATCAGACCATTCGCTAACATAAATCAGCACAAATTCAGGAAAGCCAGCTAAGAATCTGACCCACTACAACTACTTTAAAAATGTGTACAAGATACTTCACAGTGGTTTTTGGTTTTATGATTCAGTGCCTGATAGCAAAACTTAAAAGAAAGCATATATCATAAAGAGGATAATGATTTTACATGTGAGCCTGAAAGCAATTTAGCAGCCAAGAAATAAAATGGTAAAGTAAAATGTCACCATCTTTTTACTTTGACAGGCTAAGTCTTGATAGTGACAGTTTGGAAACATCTATTTTTTTCTTTATTCACTCTTTTACAAAAATATTTTCCGTGAGCTGTTCTCACATTAATTTACTTTCATATCCTTTTGAAATACTCTCAAGTTTCTGAACTTTCATCTGTGCTGTAGAAAGTATTGTAGTCAATTAGTCCTTTCAACTAATGCCATAGCTAGCTCTGAGATATGTGAATGTAATATGAAAGGAGAATAAAGTTTACACTTTTTAGTCCTCAGACTAATACAATTCTAATGGAGAAGTCATAGGCTCATAGTAGAGAAGAAACTCAACCAAAAAATAATCACAGTTCAAATTTTCATTATGAAAATCCCATGATGAAAATGAAAGTTTGCACTAATATTGAAAAACAGATTTTTGTATGAAGCTCTGACCACCTGACCAATCAGCTAGGGAAGACCAGTTACTTCTCATAGTTTTTCACATCTTCCTTTCCATCCAACATATACTACACAGAGATGCTAACTGAAAACCTAAACTGTGAAACTATTTCCGTCATAAATAGCAACACATCCAACTCTTGTAACCACACATTACAAGCTTGTTTGCTTCTAGCTGGTAATAGTCCCTTTTAATCTACTTCTGTCTTCTCTGTATACCAGTTATATTAATTCTTACCAGAGGTTAAGTTATATTCTGTACTTTTTTCAGCATTATGTGTCCCTTATGTCAAAAAGCAGATTCCGGAATGATGCAATGTCTGTTAGAGCTTCATATGTTTCTCAGAAGTTTTAAAATAAGCAAGTTGCACATTTCCAAACTTTCCTCCACATCATAGCATCACAGAATAATTCAGGCTGGAAGGGACCTCTGGAGTTCATCAGGTCCAGCCCCTGCTCAGGGTATGCACAGCCGAGACCCGAACACCTCCAAGGATGGAGATTCCCCAGCCTCTCTGGGCACATTTTCCAGCATTTAACCATGCATATGGTGACAATTTTTTTTCCCTAATATGTAGTTTAAATTTCCCATGTTCTCATTTGTGCCAGTTGCTTCTTTGTGCCATTGCTGTGCTCCTTTGAGGAGAGCCTGGCTCCATCCATTCTCTCTATCTTTCCATTATATTCTTGTAGACAGAAACAGGACCTCTTGTCCTCTCCCTCTATGTCCTGTGCTCTTGGCCTTTTCCTGAACTCACTGCAGTATGTCAGTGACTCATTTGTACTGGGGAGCCCAAAACTTGACACAGTACTCCAGAGGTGCTCTTGCAGATGCTGAATACAGGGTGATAATTACTTTCCTCAACTACACTCTCACTAGTAAGGTGCAGGGTGCAGTTGGTCGCCTTTGTCACAAGGACACACTGCTGACTCATGTTCACCTTAGTGTCAACCAGGACATCCAGTCTCTTTCTGCAAAGCTTCTACGTGTTGGGCTGGCCTCCAGGCTGTGTTGTTGAATGGGTTTATTCCATCTCAGATGCAGCACTTTGCATGTGGGTTGAACCTTGTGAGTTTCCCATCAGTCCATTTCTCCAGCCTGTTTCCATCCAAAAACAGCAGCCCTGCTCTCCAATGTGCCAGCTATCCTTTCCCGTTTGTTTTTCTCTCTGAAAATCTTTTGATTGTGCAGTCTGTCCCACATCCAAGGTCATTAATACGGATGCTAAACAGTAGTGGTACCAATATCAGTCCCTGACGGATGCCACTAGTAATTTACTGTGAGCTGAGGTTAATATACTGATCACAACACGTTGATCCCTCATGGACTTTTGGTCCCACTGTTTTTCCACTCATCTCTGTCCACTTATCTATATCTCACCAACAGAGACTGTGTCAAAGTCCTTGCTCAATTCAAGGTATGCAGCATCCAGTGTTCTCCCATTGCCCACTGCATGGCTGGATGTGCACGATATGCATTTTGTAAAATCACCTTCTTCTCCTTCATGTACTTTGAAAAGGCTTCAAGGAGGATTGCTTCATAGCCTTCCCAGGAGATCTATAAAGACTGGAAACAGTTTTAAAGAATAAACTGCTATACAACAAATTCTATCTTTCATATAAAATTTGGCATGTAACTCATGCTTTAAAGTGGGAAAAGAGAACACATGAGCACATGTTTCTAACACAACAGCTGTAGTTTTTCAACCTTTGAAAGAGTCAGGAACATACAGTTGTACATGTACAGTTTTTCAATAGAATATACTATCAATTTTACATATTATGTTCCAAACATACCTTTATCCAATGCTGTAAGAAATTAATGTTTCATACACTACAAATATTAGCTTGCTACAAAAGTCTAAAGATTCTTGCTAATAGTCAGTGTCTTGGGCTTCACAACCATGTGAAGCAAATACAGGTAAAACTCTCTCCCTGCATGTGGCAGGAGCAATAGCTGGTTTTTCAGGACTGTGGTCTAGGTGAAGAAGCCAGCAGGGGTCATGGTTCTTTGAGCTGTAGGAACATCAAATCTCAACAGTGTAGGAAAACTCAAGGCCAAACCAATAAATATGTTCACACAAAGGGCTGGTGTATATTAAATGCATATGTGAGGAGGGCAGTACATTCTAAGTGCTGTCTGCTGTTATCCTACTTCATATCAGCAGGAGCTGGTTTGCATACCTTGGAAGTCACCAGGAGCTTCACCACTGACATCAGTGTCAGTGAAGTCAATGTTTATTCCTGTGTCTGTTATTTCTTTATTGCCAGCAATGCAGCATATACTTTTCAGATATGAAGTATCCAGAGGTAAGATTTTTACAACTGGGAACATACAACCCTGTATGACTGCAGTTATATGGCAAGGAGACACTATTGTTCCTTCAAAATATGTTATTATAAGAGAGTCATCACTGTATTCTTAATGCCAAATTCTGAGCTGCTCTTTACAAGTAATGCTCTATGGGTTTCAGGAGATTACAGTCATATGCACACCCTGATATTTTCACTGTGTTTCATTCTAATGCTATTCTTAGAGTTATTTCTAATTGGTCTGAATCTGTCAATACCTGTTTATCCACTAGATGGCATGATGACTCTGCTCTATTAACAACTGAAAGCCAATTTGCTCTCCGGAGTCACTTGAGGTACCAAAACCAAGGAAACACAGAGCAGAAATTAAAGGACATTAAATTGTGGAAGTTCTAATTCAGCAATAAAATTACCTCTGTTCTGTGTAGTTTAAGCTTTAAGCATCCAAACTGATTCTTTTATAAGCTTTCTGTGGTGAAAGGCGAGATTTTTTTGCACAGGGCAGACTGTCCTTCTGTACTCCACTAAGGCAGCCTGCCTAGTGTACTGTGTTTGTATCCAAGGTAATATGAAATAAAAATTGCCAATTTTCTTTAAAAACATGTTTTTGAATATTTAGATTCTTTTTAAGTTGCATTTCACAGAATGACAGGATGGCTGAGGTTGGAAGGCACCTCTGGAGATTATCTGGTCCAGACCCCCTGCTCAAGCAGGGCCACCTAGAGTCAGTTGCCCAGAACCATGTCTAGGTGGCTTCTGAATATCTCCAAGGGTGCAGACTCCACAGCTTCCCTGGGCAACCTGTGCCAGTGCTGGGTCACCTTTACTGTAAAAAAGTGTTTTGTGTTTCCTGATGTTCAGAGGGTACCTCATGTGCTTCAGTTTGTGCCCGTTGCCTCTGGTCCTGTCACTGGGCATCATTGAGGAGAATGTCACTCTCTCTTCTTTGCACCCTCCCTTCAGATGGGAGCCTTCTCCAGGCTGAAGAGTCCCAGCTATCTCAGCTTTTCTTCATAGGAGAGATGCTCCAGTCCCTTCACCAACTTCATGGCCCTTTGTTGGACTCTCTCCAGTATGTCCATGTTTCTCTTCTAGTGAGGAGCCCAGAATTAGACACAGCACTCCAGCTGTGGCCATGGGGGTACTGTTGTTGGAATGATGTTGTAAAGGTATTCCACAGTTCTTTTCATGCATTGTCTTTAACACTACAAATGTGATAACATCCATAGAAAGACATAGATTTTAATGCATGTCTCAGATTTCTTTACTAACCACCAAGGAATACAAAAAAAAGTGACATCTGCGGCATTTTTTTTTTTGGTCATTATTACAGTCACATACTCACCCCCTGGTTCTATAAAAATTCTTTGCCACTCTCAGAATTTGGCCCTTTTCTTTCTGTCAAGGCCATACTATTCACTGTCGGCAAACCACAATAAGAGTTGTCGGGTTTTGCTTGATCTTGTTTTCCTCAGCTTTTTCTGGTTGATCATGAAGCTTGATACAAGAGTGTCACCACAAGAGCCATTTAGTGAGTTTGGCTTTCACCATCAAAACTACATTCCTGGCTAACCAAAGTCAATAAGGTATCAGTACGTTTCAGACTAATTGGTTTCATTGCTGACTGCGTGCACGTCCTCATTGTACCTTCTGCTCCTATCCCTTTCCAGCTTCAAAATTCATCCTAGAGTTTTTGTTTCCAAGATACTCAGCTATTATCCTTTCTTCCTCATTAAGTGCCCAGGACTCAAACTCTATTAAAAACTGATCTTGTAATAATCTTAGAAGTCAATATTCTGTCTTGGTCAGAAGATGCTGTGAAAAATCTTCACAGTGAAAAGCAACAGGCTTTCCTGCCTTTACACATGCCCTAGTATTAGTATTCTTTCTGTGGGAAGAAATGGTACTGTAGAAATAAACCAAGTCTCTCTTGCATTGCAATAAATTGATTTTGTGGAGCTTCCATAGAAACAGTAAGGTTTATCTAGAGGGATCTTTCAGAACAGGACCCAACACTGCACACAATCTAATGAGGCAATAATAAAATGCAACATTAGACATTTTATAGTGAGCAACGAGCGCATGAACAGTTGAAAATATAACTCACCAGTGAAAAGCTGTTTATTTTGCCATTGATCTTTTAATTTAATGATGAAAAAAACCCTATACATATATTGCATACACATTTTCCTACTCCAAATAGCCATCCATAAGTCTGAAGACCCACATTTAATAAAAACTTACAGTAAAAGAAAACGACTTGCCTGCTCTGTAAGCCTGTACTTGGTAACATTAGATGTTCTGCATCTAATTTTCACTTAAGTCCATCTCTGTAGCAAGCCTGAAGCTCAAAACCACGCCTTTGCCAACAGTAAGAGAATTCTTGGTTTTAAGAAGCTAGAATGATTACAGTTTGCAAAGATATCTGTACTAAAACACATTTTGTTGATACACCCCTGAACTAGGAGGAGATTTGGCTCTGACCTTTGCATCTCAAGGTATTCCCTTTCAGAAGAAAGTATAACTAGGCATAAGGTCAAAGCAGGAAAAAAAAAAGGTGGATACTGGCTGTTATAAAAATGCAGTGTCTCTTTTTCCAGTAGCTTAAGGGAATGTTATCACTGTACAAAAAGAAAAATGTTTAATTTTAAAATGTTATTTCTATCTGGAGATAATAGCAATAGCAACAGCATGGTCTGTTCTACTTGAAAGATTTAAATTTCTCCTTTGTGTAAGATTCATTTTAATATATATAAAATATTAAAATGCATATAAATATATATCAGTGTGTATTTTTTTTAAATGCTGTATTCACATCAGTCTCAAAAGAGCCTTTACTGAGGCATCCCTACTAAGGAAGAATAAAATTTCATAGTGTAAGTATTACTATTGAATCAAAAAAGGAATAAGTGGTGGAAAAAGTGAACAAAAGCACAACATTATACTTTCTAGTTGAACAATACAGAAGGCATTTATGTTTGAACAACTGCATTAGAAAGGTAAAGCAAACCTGCAAGAACAATCAGCTATTCAGAATCAAAACTTTCAGTTATATGTACGAGTATATGTAGAAAGAGTATAGGTACATTTGGTTTTCTGTGATATGCAAAATTCTGCATACAGCCTAGAATGATTTATTTACAGAACTCCCATACCTATAAAAACTTCCCTCAGTTCCCCAGACCTCCTCCATCAGTTTACCTTATCATCATTCAGTCAAAGGACTGAAAAAATTTTAAAAATATAGCCAGATTTCCAGACTGTAAAATCATGTACCTACTGAAAGGAAAAGGAGCTGCAGGCATGTGGTTCATCCTGATAGTGTACCAGGATTTCCTTAGACTCACTGTTCACCCATCATTAGCTGAGTATGAGGACTTGAGTGTCAGTGGCATATGGTACCTCACCTGTTTCCAGAACTTAGAATTGGGTGACTGTGGGTGCACAGTGTGCTGCTCTTTCCATTTGATGGTACCTTGCTGCTTAATAATAAACCTAAGAGATTCCTGAAGCTTCTCATAAGTTCCAATGGTCTCCATTTCAAGCAGGATCACCTTTGTATCATTTTGAATGAGGGCATTGTATAAAGCGATGTGTTGATCATATGCAGGTTCTTCACAATTAGTCAGCTGGTGTGTTAGAAGGATGATCAGCCGTCTGCTCTTCTGCATCCTCTTCTCAATTGCACTGGCTGTATCTAGGAATGTACAAGAAAATTATAAGACCCTGAAATTTCTTTTATAAAGTCTTTTGTGGTTAGGCACTTCATTTTTATTGCTTCTTCACCAGAAATAACTTCTGTCTCACTTCAGTCTGGTACAGTTTATTCATAAGAAAAAGAGCTTAAACAAACCAAACCAAACAAAAACAAAACAAGACAAAAAAAAGAAGCAAAGCTTTCCTTTCAAACATTTTCTTTGGTTGAAACATTAATATTTTCACTGCTCTTAAGAACTGTTAGGAATTTCTAATGCAACAACCTAGGGTCAAGTTCAGTAGACCTGGACTGCATCAAATTTGTGCTTGATCAATGGTCTCCATGTAAGGAATCATGTTCTATGAAGCTGTGTGCTTTACAAACTGACTCGGCAATACTGACCCATGAAAATGAGTCATTTGGAGACTTTGGGGTGGCTTTCTTCTGAAAGACTTATTTACCGGCAGAGGGAGTGTTAATTCTCCTGAGCTATAGCATGCTAATTTATACGCTAACCTGTATATAGGGTTGGCATCCACCCTGTGGGGGTGGATCCAGACTTGCAGGGCATTTGCATGTCAGCATGACTAAAGGTGTTTCTTTTTCCCACCGCTGTGTTAGGGAGAGCTGATCAACCACAACTGGGACTGTGATGTTGGAGGTCTTGAACTTAGGAAACTCAAGAGCCAGCATGCTATGGGAGAAACTTCTGGGATGACTTAGAAAGCTCCACATCAAGCCTCCAGGAGCTGCTTTTCTCAATGACCTGCTGTGATGTCTATGGGAAGAACACTGCAGATGAATGCCTGTCCAGTGAAATCCTCATCTCAGTTAGAAGAGCTTCCTGTGGTCTGTAGAATGAAAGGTGGAGTTGTTTTGGTGGGAGCATGTCATGCTGGGCCAAGGGAAAGGAGGTGGCAGCTGAGCTAAGAAATTCAATGTAACAACTGTTTAACAAAGCCACTGATTTGCAGATGTCATCGGCCAACCGCATATGCATCCTCTTTTCCTTTGCTGGGGGCTGCCAGCACATTGCAAGGGTCTTGTCAGTCTCAGAGAGGCCCAGCTTTTTCAGCTTCTGGGTCAGGAAGAGAAACCTTTCAATGACTTCTCCAACTGATTTCTTGGCTCTAAGATATTCTATGAAAATAATTTGCCTTTCTGTGATGTTCACTGATTCAAACTCATTTTCTTCTTCTTTTTCATTAAATTTTCCTGATGTTAGGAGAACAGATCCTTTGGAAGGTGAGAAAAATTAAGGTAAGCAGCTATGATCATATGTTTAGTTCCCATAATAACACCACTTTTAAAAAAATGTCTTTCTCAGTTTTGATGTGCAGTCTATTGTGCTCAGGACTGAAAGACCATGGACCTGGGAAGGTATTCAGTTCTCCATTTGGATTTCTGATGCCATACTTGTGGCAAGAGGAAAGACGGGGCTACATGCTGCAAATACTTTAACTGAGGGATTCATTGCAACCTGTTTTGTGAATGTTAGAAGTTTATATGAGTTCAGAAAGTGACAGATAATACTGTGAAAGAAAAAATCCATCAGAAGCTATTACACACAAAAATTTGAGCATCTGAAGTCCACATACTGCTGGAAGAGTACATCACTGGAAGTATAATATGAGCTTGCACTGTTCTTAAAGTCTTTTCTAGTCCTTTGCCCATGGCCACTGCTGAAGATAGGACACTTGGCTACACAGAACATTGCTCCAGTGAAGTATAATCATTCCTCTGTTATTTGCTCATGTTCTTATGTATTACAGATGCAGCAGCTCCAGCAGTGTTTGGTTAGATTCTGCAGCAAGGAATGCAGTTGGTGGGACTATGCATCCATGAGAAGAATGGAGTAGAAGGTGATGTTGGTGAAAACTCTTGGTTTGCTGGGTAATACTTGCATTTGCACCTCTTCAGGCAACTGTTAGGTTGTAGAAAATACTATTAATCAGTAAGACCAGGAAACAAAAAGTATGCTCGTTTAGGGAAGTGTAACTGGAGTCCAACAGCCGTGCTGTTTATCACTTGAAGAATTCTATTTAACTTTCCTTTTTACTGGAAGAAGACAAGTTTCAAGTAACAAAACTTTTATCTGGAACTAAGAGTCATAAGCATGTTTTGAAATATAATTCCATTTTATATCCTCACTGCAATTTTTTTTTGTTTTGTCTGGAAATACATGGAGTCTTACAGTGAAAAATATGATTCATCAAATGCTATGATACATGTTCAGGAAGGATCACAGTAACTTGAAGTGGCATTTCCTGTTTTACTCTGCTTAGCATATTTTAATTGTAAGATTTTGGATTTGGAAACCTGTTAACAAAAGGCTCAAGATCAGAAGATAAACAAGAGTGGGGAGCATGTGGGTAAAGTCCATCTGCGTGGAAGCAGAGAACTTTTAAGTGCTCCCAGTGGCAGGCAGATTTGGAATGGCTTTTTCACCCAGGTGGAAGCATTTTAGGGCACAAAAGTGGACAAAGAAGAGAAAAGTAGAAGGCTGGGAAAGTAGGCAAGAAGAGAAAAGGAAGGACAATGGTCAATGCTCAGGACATTTTTAGAGTTTTGATTAAATCAGACTAAGTCAAACAGAGGTTACTCACTGTCCAAGATTGGCTTGCTGAGCCTTCTGTCTGCCACTCCTGGATTACAGGCATCCAGTCATGCCTTTGTACAGTGTCTTTCTTTTCAGCCACCTTATTAGAGCCCTTGTTAGTCCCACAGTCTTTAGCTCAGTTGCATGCTGTGCTCAGTTTTCTTTAGGATTGCCATCCACAAACCACAGTTTGAGAGCAGTGTCCCATAACAAAATATTGCCATGTCCCTAATCTGAACCTGAACAGGTGGCATAAATTGAGTGAGTGCTGGCTGTGTGGTGCTTAGTTGCTGGCTGGGGTTAAACCATGACAGACAGTTTTGTGAGCTACTGTTAGTTCCTTATTCTGGATCTGGCATGCTGGGAATGGTCTGGCTCAGCAACTCTTGCAGATTTTTTTACATTCTTGTTGCAGTGGGTTTTCTTAAGGCCAGGCAGCACTTTTGCCACTCTCCAGAAGAGAAGGACATCAAAGATCTCAGCCCAGCACCAGGCAGGTGAATGACACCTGGCCCAGTGCAGATGATTTCAGAAATGTGTAAAAGAAAATGGGTCAGCTTTGGCTTCATGCCTGCTTACTGACAGGGAGAGAAGACCTGGTCCACAGAATAATCAGAGGACAAAATAAATAGACAAGTCAGCTCTGAAGGAAAGTAGATAGCACCTAGATGGCAGCAATCGTAAGAGAGAGCATAGAGGTGTCCATATGGAAATTAGCATAGATTAATTAACATGATTCAATTCTGGAAGACAAGGAAGCAGGAATAAAGAATACTAACTGTCTCCTGAATTAGCGCTGGGAATTGTGTGAAGTGAAAGTAGGTCATGTCAGTGAACAGAAGCTGAACTTCCTGTAACTCTAACATCCTCATAACAGGTTGAAAAACCCTGAGTGATAACAGCAAGGTTAATTCCTCATCTTACTTTGTGGGTTTCTCCTCTTCCGTGTCTTGTAGACCTACTCACATACAGTTTGGTTGTGGCTTTGCCCAGACAATGTCTATGCAGAGTTACACTACCCAGAGAGCAGGTATATGTTTAAAAGGGTCACACATTTCCTGCATGATCCAAGAAGATGATGAACAATCTGTGCCCCTGCCCTGTAGCTTGCTTTTCTTAGCACACCAGCAAGCACAGAGTGCCATTGCGTCACCCTGCCTGAAAGAGCAGACACACAGCTGCTGAGGAGATGAGCAGCCAGCTCAGGAATGCTAAGGGACCTCCTATACCCCTAAAAAGGACTAGAACCACAACCCACTGAAGCTTGACAAGTCATTCTGTGCATTATCTGATCTGAAACTTGCCTTCTCCAGGATATATATCTCTCCCATAAATACACAGTTTATATCCATATTTATTTTCTAGAATATCTGGCATGATTTGATAAACAAAATATTCCACAAAATTAGCTTCATTGGTGTGGCTTCTGGGGTAGATAACATATGCATCATATATCTTCCCATCTGTAAGGCAAAACAAGAGGAAAGTGTATTGTGTTAACATGAATTAGAGCTGTCTATTGCAAAAGCTAGAAGAGAAATAAAAATATCAGTCTTTGAAATAGATCTAAGTAGAAGTTCCTGCTAATCTGAATAATGTATATCATCGGGTGCATGTTTCAAAATTAGAGACTGTGCACATTTGGTGTTTTCCATGCTCAATATGTCCTGTGTGTTTGTAACTTTGGAGAACTTGTCCTTTGTATTGTAAAGGCTCTATCCCAAAGTACATAGAGAAAGAATTCAATTGATCAATGTACATTAGCATGAAATAGACATGAAGCTCAGCATTTGTTATTTCAGTGATACAATAGGCTGTTAATAGCCTTTGCCTTTCAGGACAAGACACTCCACTTAAATTCTTCCACCCTGAAGAAATTACTCATTATTTCTACAACATATCATACTTCTGAGGGAAAAACTCCTTTACTCAGGAAGTAGTCTTACAGTCAGAACCAAATACAAGGTCAAATATTTCTTTTGCTCTTTTCTTCATTTCTCTCAAATATGTTTTCCATTATAGCATTTTTTTTAATCCCAAATGTTTTGTTTCTTTCTTTCTAGTGGAGATGATCATATCCCTTCTTTTGTTGCTATCTGAGGTTCTTGTCCAGACCATCCTTACAATAAAAAAAGAAACAGCCATTTCCAGAGTCTGATTCATTCCATCATAAAATATACTTAAATGGAAACTGCCTTAAAAAGCATACTTCTTTCCTCTTTAAAGACAACCTAAGTAACTAGATCAGCTGTAGATATCTACCATGCAGACATCTGTGGTAGGAGTCAGCTTCAGGTTTTAAAAAATGTAAATTTAGGTGTCTACATGAAAGCTAGGTGTCTAAACTTCTGCTACAATTAGTGGAGAACTAGCCATTCTAGAGTGATTCAGATTACTCTCATGTAAGTGCCAGGGGCCCAGCTGAGTTGCCTAAACATAGACATCTGGTGCCATTTGAGAACTCCTGTGGTACCCTACCTGACCTCCAGACCCTGCTCCAGAAGTCTGCAACGTCCAGCAGATCTGTGTTACGTGTTCATTTTTTTTACCATCCCAAATGACTCTAGATGCCCATGTTTAGACCACTGATGCAAGGTCCCAGTGCCTAGTAAGCTGAGTTGATTTTATTTATGTGGAGCTGGATTTGGTCACCTAAAAACATGTACCGCATAGTGTCATGAGGCACTGCCTGCCCTTCAGCTGCCACTGCAGAGGGGTTCAGGTCTCTCTTAAGTCCTAAGGGAGCTCTGACAGCACTAGCTGCTTACAGTTAGACAGCTGAACCCAGCCCCAGGTCTGCAGGTTTTATGTCTGTGATGGGAACTTGCACATGTGTACCTTCATTGCATGCGACTAAATTTAGATGTCCTAATCTTGAGCTGAAGTCCACCACTAAAGTTGGATGGGATGTATTCCCCCAAAAGTGTCTTCCACAATACTGGTACCTTTCCCTTTGGGTTATAAAGACTGTATTGCTCTAACACATGCTTGTTAACACATCAGCCAGCAGTTTGGTTCCTTTGCTTCAGAGAGCACATAACAAGTACAGTTAATAGCACTGTAAATAGGATTTTCACCATCATTCAATGTTTTACGGCAAATATTTTTGTTAAAAAATATGAAGCTAGGACTGAAATCTCTCTTTCATGTAACACATCACTACAGAACCCAGGAAACAAGGAAATGTAAAGCACTACCAGAGCTATGTATGTCCCCTCTTATCTAAGCAATTTCAGAAGGCATGAGAAAGCGAAAGATCAGGCACAGGTGCTATATGAGTTAGTAAGCAACTATCAGATAAATCCATATCCATATGATTTGCCTTTTTCCTTTTTTTAAGCTTTCTTGCTCAATTTTTACTCACCGTCCTTGACTGAGCAGGGCTGAAATATCTCCCGATACAATAGGACGATATCAACTCGGAAGGACTGATAAAGTATAACAGAGACTGCTATTGCAACTAGCAGAACTAGAGATCCTACAATCAAGAGGACGTTAGGAAGACCCACTGCAAAGAAGAGGAATATATTGTTAGCTGTAGAGAAGTTAACCCATGGGCTGAAGCCTCAGCCTCTCATATCCTTACTTCTATCACAGCTTTAAGGAGCTCACAACAGAGACAATAAAGCTTTTTCCTCCCTCAGCTGGTGTAGCCAACACAGAGACCCCTAAACCAGAAGCATATTAAGCAGTATGCAATTAACATCTACTTCTGTTGAATCCAGACCTACCCACACTGAATACCACAGATGACAATAATGTTTAAGTATTTTGTAACATTGTAAAAGTGTTAATAACACAACCAGCAATGATGTTCAAGCAGTTTGTGAGGCATCTAAGCCTATGCATGACAACCATAAATGTCCACAAAAGGACAAGCCAAAGCTTCTGGCATAGTTGCACAAACAGGGTAGAGAGAAACAAGTGCAAATAATGAAAGCTGCAACATGAGAACAAAGTACACAAAACAAGCAGGAAAACAGACTATGTCCTGGTCACAAAAATAAAATAAACTATGTTGGAGGCAGATGACGTTCTCCCCTGCCTTTTCCTTTGAAGAGGGTCAAGGAGCATAAAATAGCAATGACGAGTAAGGAAAATTGAGAAAGGCAGGAGCCACGCACTTCAGTTCCAGCTTCCTTCATGGAAGAGCTCTTGAATCTGACCACCTCCACCTCAGAGATGAAGACTTATCAAGGATAGATTCAGACTACACATAAGGAAGAAATTTTTTACAATGAGGGTGGTGAGGCACTGGAACAGGTTGCCCAGAGAGGTAGCAGAGGCCCCATCCCTGAAAACATTCAAGGTCAGGTTGGATGGGGCTCTGAGCAACCTGATCTAGTTGAAGATGTCCCTGCTCACTGCAGGGGGTTTGGACTAGATGACCTTCAAAGGTCCCTTCCAACCCAAACCATTCTGTGATTCTATGATTCTATAAGGATGTCAGCCACCAGCTCTGTGCTATCATATGCACACAGCTAGTCTAGGACAAGATTGTAATTATCACTCTTCTAGGGGAAAGCAATGTTTCTATCACAACCCAAATAGCTGTGTTTCTGTAACAGACTGCTTTTCCTCTTCTTCTGTGATTCACAGAACAGAAGTCAATCTAGATACGTGCATCCTTTAGATGGCATCTAGCTCTGCTGCAGCAAGTGTAGTGGTGCATCCAC